CTCTTGCTTTTTCAGCACAAGTTTGTATTTTGCAGCTCTTCCAAGTTTACCATTTCGAGTGCGTCTGTAACCAGATTTATAAGTACTCGTCAAACCTTTCAATCACCAAAGTTACCCAAGCACCCATTTGCTCACTTTAAACGATTGCTTCAACCAGATGGTCTCTCAATTCACATCTAAAGAGTGTTAACGCTTGTCTCTGGGACACAACATTTCTTCAAGCGTATTAACCATGCTCGGTCCAAAATAATTTATCAAGCCTCACACCAAGGCTTACAACACCCCCTTAAACGAAAATATATATTTCCAAGTGCGACAGTCATTGAGTATTTCAATGTGATCACGAGTTCACCACTCTTTCAAGAGTCTACTCATCCTGGAGTTGCGTCTGCTCTCTATTTCATCCTAGGAACCATGTCTTACTTCTCCACGAGTCTCTCGCTCTTAGTCTCATGAGTCTAGGTAGCTTTCCACCTTTAATCATGGGGGCAACCCATTAAAGGTTAATCCATATCTATCTTCATATTTTGAGTATTACAATGTCATTACTAAACTCATCACTTTAACAAAAGTCAACTTGTTTCAGGAACCTGCGTATGCCCTCTGCTCCTACATAACAGTCACGTCTTAATGCTTCACAAGTCATCCACTTATTGTCCAAAACAAATATCTTCTAGCTCATTAATTTTTAGCATGGGGGCAATATCCATGAAAGTCAATCTCGCATTTGTTTCCATACTCATCATAGCCACTTCATTAGCTATCCACCTATTCACTCATATCTAGCCATCACATTGACTCTCGAACGTTCTATAATTAGGTTCCTATCATAACCCTTACACATTTTCCTAAGGTGTCTTCGTTCGTCATTAAACAACAGGCTATATTTTGAAAGAGCAAGATCAGGAAATTAAGAAGCTAGAAATCTTATTGGGTTTCACAGAAAAATTCAGTCCATCGTGGCAGGCTTGTGGTACCTTAGCTTTCTGTAAAAATAAATATTTTTATTTTTTTATTTAGTTTTAAAACTTTATTTTTTCTACTGTTTTGAATTCAATTTAAATTTAGATTTTTATTAATTAATGTTTTTTTTGTTATTCATATATGCTAATATATTGATAATAATTTATTTTTTTAAAAATATTATTTTTATTTGTTTATAAAACGAAAAATATTTTATAGAACAACCATTATCATACTCCTAAATAACCTCTAGTATTATTTAATTTTCTACTGTTTTATTTAGAGAGAATATTTTTTTATTTAGTAGTAGTAGAGTTTTTCAAACTATAATAACATTATGACAATAAGATTTGAATGAATAAAGATTAAATATTTTAAATATATTTCTATAGTTGTAATGTTTTTGGTTTTTTATAATTTTAACTCATAACAATTTTTATTATTATACCAAGTCGGTTAATATTAGAGCCCAAACTTTCTTGGTTAAGTTTTTATTATTATTTTGGTTGGAAGTTTTAGAAGATGTGTTCGTGGTGTGAATGGTGAAAGTTTTGCCCCTGCAACATCATGGTGAAGTAGGATAGTGTTTTATTGAGGTTTGAGCTTTAGAACACGAACATATTAAGACCGACGAAGATTTCTTTTTTTAAAACAAATATTTATTTATTTATTTTTGTTTCTTCTTGTCTAGTTTAGAAATTTTATTCTTTCTTGTTTAATAATAGTGTTTTGTTTTAGTTTTTTATTTTTAAAAATAGTTTTCAACCTTTTTAAAAATATGTTTTTCTATTTTTATTTTTCTATTCAATATAATTATATAGTTTTCTTTTTTTATTTTTCTATTAAGTATTATTAGGTTTTTCTATTTTTTTAATTTAAAGGAAATATTTTTTTTCTATTCAATATTATTAGAAATTTCTAATTTTTTCTATATAAAGGATTTTAAACTTGTAATAAATTTCGACAACAAATTTAATGAATAGAAATTAAATACTCTAAATATCTCTTCATAGTTATGACATTTTTGGTTTTTGAAGGTTTTAACTTTACATTAATATTCGCTTTCGGCCACATTATCTATTTATTTATGATCATGGAAAACACAAGTGCGTGTGTATTCGGCAAGGTGTGGGTTTCAAGCCTGCAATATAATTGAAGAAAAAATTCAAGAATTTTCCCGCGTTAATGAAACCCGGATTCAAGGCTGGAGCATGCCTTTGATAATAGGCAGATGGGTGAAACTTGGAAACCAGGAATAAGCATGAAACAAGGGACTCACACGAATTTGGAAATCCACGCTTGTAAAGAAAACCAAACCGCATAATTTGAAGAAACCGCTCGAGAAGTGGTAGATCGCGGAAATCAAGGCGTCGCGGATGCGCTTCGGCAATAGTGTACGGCAACCAGTCTGGAGTTCCATGAGTATGTTTGGGTGTGAGATGTGCTATCATCCTCTTAAAATATATACTATACTTTCTAAAAACAAAAAAAAAATATTTTTAATAAAAAATATGATAGTTTTTTTTTTAAAAAAACCAACCACACTTTCCATCCAAATATTTTCTTAGATCTTCATGGCTGAGTAAAAATTCTATGCCATATTTTTTTGAATTTTAATAAATAAAAATTAATTTAAATATAAATATTTATTTTTGATACCAACACGTGAAAATTATTTTAAAAAATTAATCCATACAGAATTTTTAAAGCAGAATGAACGGTAAAAACAAACATTGAGCTAATTTTCACTCATTCCAGTTGCCAGGACATGGTGGCGGTGCCTCTTGATCTTATCTAGTTGGGCCACATGAATACACTTCAAGGGATTTGAAACTAGGCCTAATCGATAGAAACGTAGAATCCACTCTCTAATTGAGAGGACGGCCCACCCTCCTGGGCGACGTGCCCTCTCATCCACCACCATCATGCCTTCTCTGCTCCCTCCTCACGCCTCCCAACAGAATGACATTATTACCCTCCCCACAACCACAGACCAGCAGTGGCACAACTGCAATTTCGTACTACCCAAGACGATCCCCCAAACTAAATTCAAAAATCAAAATGGAGCGGGCAACTAACCATGGTTAAATAACGATTCGGCCAACCTGGCAAAACCAAGAATTAGGTGGCTTGGGAAACGGCATCATTGGCATGGCACCTAATTTGACCCGTGGTTAAACTAACCCTGGTTAGCTAAACCACACACTCCCTCCCTCCCCTAATTTCTCTCCTCGTGAAAGTATATAAACCCCATACTCACAGACCTAAAAGCTCACCCCTGCAGTTTCATAGGCGTCTTGATAAACGCCACCCACCCTCAGCATCAATTCCAATTCGCTTTGCTTTCGATTTTTCTCTACTTTTATTACCTGTTTGTCTTTGTGTTTTAAGAGAAAATGAGAGAGTGCATTTCGATTCACATTGGTCAAGCCGGTATTCAGGTCGGCAATGCTTGCTGGGAACTTTACTGCCTCGAGCACGGCATTCAGGTGTCTTTTCGTTTACGTTTGAGAATCTATCAGATCTGGATCCAGTCTTTATCTGTTTTTTCTTCTTTTTTTTGTGGGTTTTCTTGTAGGCCTGTATTGGTTATATCCGTGTATCTTAAGTTATTCTTTCTAGTTTTTACCAATTCGTTATGGAGATATAGGGCCAATCGTTTCCATGTCTTGCTAGATCTAGTGCCTTTTTTTTTTTATCACAGTATCAAGATTAGTGAGCACTAACTGATATTCATTCATGTATCTTAGTCAAATTATCGAACTCGATGATCTATTATTAAATAATTGTTTTTGTGTTTCAGCCTGATGGCCAGATGCCAAGTGACAAAACTGTTGGCGGAGGTGATGATGCTTTCAACACCTTTTTCAGTGAAACTGGTGCGGGAAAGCACGTCCCCCGTGCTATCTTTGTTGATCTTGAGCCTACTGTTATTGATGAAGTCAGGACTGGAGCATACCGCCAGCTTTTCCACCCCGAGCAACTCATCAGTGGAAAGGAAGATGCTGCCAACAACTTTGCCCGTGGCCACTATACCAGTGAATATCTGAACTCTCTCTGAAATTCTGGTTTTGGTTTTCAAATCAGATTTTTATTTTGGGATTTTTATTTTTGCTTATAATTTTGTCTTGTTGCTTTTCTATCAGTTGGGAAAGAGATTGTTGATCTCTGCTTGGATCGTATCCGAAAGTTAGCTGATAACTGCACTGGCCTTCAAGGGTTTTTGGTGTTCAATGCTGTTGGAGGTGGTACTGGTTCTGGTCTTGGGTCACTTCTCTTGGAGAGGCTTTCTGTTGACTATGGCAAGAAATCAAAGCTTGGTTTCACGGTATATCCATCACCGCAAGTTTCCACATCAGTTGTGGAGCCCTACAACAGTGTCCTTTCAACTCACTCTCTCCTTGAGCATACTGATGTTGCTGTGCTCCTTGACAATGAGGCCATTTATGACATTTGCAGGCGCTCTCTTGACATTGAGCGTCCCACTTATACCAATCTTAACCGCCTTGTTTCTCAGGTAATGCTTGTTATAAATGGGAAACTGCATTGCTGCTATATTGATTTCTTGCGTCCAGTTGATGTTATTAATTTGAGATTTATGTTTTTTCTTTTTTTTGTGTATCAGGTGATCTCATCTTTGACTGCCTCATTAAGGTTTGATGGAGCTCTTAATGTGGATGTTACTGAGTTCCAAACCAACTTGGTTCCATACCCCAGGATCCATTTCATGCTTTCCTCTTATGCTCCTGTCATCTCTGCAGAGAAGGCATACCATGAGCAGCTTTCTGTGGCTGAGATAACCAACAGTGCTTTTGAGCCATCATCCATGATGGCCAAGTGTGACCCACGTCATGGCAAGTACATGGCTTGCTGCCTGATGTATAGAGGTGATGTTGTGCCCAAGGATGTGAATGCAGCTGTGGCTACCATCAAGACCAAGCGCACAATCCAGTTTGTTGACTGGTGCCCAACTGGGTTCAAGTGTGGCATCAACTACCAGCCACCGACTGTTGTTCCAGGAGGCGACCTTGCTAAGGTTCAGAGGGCTGTTTGCATGATTTCCAATTCCACAAGTGTTGCAGAAGTCTTCTCTCGCATTGACCACAAGTTTGATCTCATGTATGCCAAGCGTGCGTTTGTGCACTGGTATGTTGGTGAGGGTATGGAGGAAGGAGAGTTCTCAGAGGCTCGTGAGGATCTTGCTGCCCTGGAGAAGGATTATGAGGAGGTTGGGGCTGAATCTCCTGATGGAGAGGATGGTGATGAAGGAGATGAGTACTGATAATACGTAGTGTACTTTTGTGTGGATGAGTACTGATAATACGTAGTGTACTTCCTTTTGTGTTTTTGTTTGGCTGCTGTGAGTTTGCTTAGACCTATTGCTTCTTGCTAATTTTGTATTGTAATAAAAAAATACAAGGATTGGAGGCCTATTGCTAATTTTCTCTATTCCTTCTTGCTGCTATTAAAATATTGTGCATTTCTCATACTTGGTTTCATAGAATATTATGAGTGCTGGGAAGAAGTAACAAAATTTTCTTCAATAAACCAACGAGCCGGTTGCTCAAAGCTGTTCGTCCAAAGACTTGGTGGTAGTTCAAAGGTTTTCTTCCAAAGTAATAACTGTGAGATCTCTAACTTTGAAGTATTTAAGCTGCCCAACTACTGAAAGGCCAAATATTTCAAGTCTCAACAATTTCGATGGAAGACATCTTGTGGAGACGGCAAACCAAGACCTATCCATTCTATTGGCTCCGTCGAAAGCTTGATTCTTTATTTCCAATCTTTCTTCATCAATAAAGCATACCTGGAAACCAGCTGTTGATGCCCTGCACTAACTGAACGCTTGCAGCAGAGGGACGGATTCTCCAAGTTGTCCCCGTAAAGGCTCGCAAATGGCCCTAAACTTCCATTTTCATTACACAGCCAACCATGATCAGCCCTTAACGCAGCTCTTAGGGATGCAGATCCTGTCAAGAAAGTACCAAGTTTTCACATCCATCAGGTGAGGAATCAAGTTCTGAAAAACCGCTATAAGAAAAACTTGTAAAAGCAACAGCTGGAGACCAGTACGCACATCACCGCCAAATATTGAAACTCTCGAGTTCAAAATGCTCTGATTAGCTGATGCTCCCCCAGTTGCTGTAATTCGTTGTGGAGTAGAAGGCATGCCAAATCTTTCAGCATGAGCTGGCATAGAGAGGAACTGGCCTTAAATCAATGCTCGAACCCGCAAATGAAAGTGTTTTTTTTAACAGAAGTCTTGTGCACCACATCAGCATAAGAAAAATATTCCCAGACAGTACAGACCACGGGAGGATCAAATTCCTCCACTTCTTGTTCACTCATGAAATCTTGGATGACATAGCGATGGAAGCCATCTGGTTGGATATACAACTGTCAGTTGAGCTACAGCTACAGCTCATTGCATTACAAACGAGTTTAAAAAGCGTGAAACAAATAGGAAATACACACATCCACTCGTTATCACAGCATTGTCCACATTATAACATATGCATGCGGTCGGGCATTCTTTTCCATTGGATTCTATTAAATAGTTTGGAAAATAATGATATAGTTACTTGCATCATGAGATTGTTTTAGTTGCATAGACTATATATTTGCCTGTCAGCTGAGCATGAAACATCACAGAGCAACTTTTTCATGACAATTTGAATGGAAACCTCTAATGGGAATAACAAAATTGAAACCCAAGAGCCTACCTGGAAGGGAGGGAGGAAGAGTTTCACGGTCCTCGCAGTAGAAACCCATCTTCCCATCTATTGCAGAGATTGGAATGAGGAAACAGAAAACAACTATCATCTAGAAAACGAGATTATCAAGCGCCTGTGGAAACCATTAAGAGGTGGTGTTTTCTGCAGAAACTTACTGAAGACTTCCCAAGATTTCTCAGCATACTAGGTACGCACATCTAAAGCAAGATTGTTGTCATATCAGGGACTGCTAAATGACATTTTGCTGGAATGAAAAGGAATGGATTAGCACCTTCCTGGTTTAGAGACCCATTTTTGTAGACTAGCAATACCAAATAACCTTCTGCGTCCACAGGACCAGGGGAAATATGCTCTTCTAATCCAGGTCGAGGATCACTAGCTATCCCAAAAACCTGCATGAAAAGCATGAGAAGAGCCATCAATGGTTTGGTATAGAGGAAACTCGATCAACTTGAAGCACACGTACATCTTCGACGATTTCAGAATCATTGAAAATATGGAATATGAAGATTAATTATGGAAATTCAAATGATACAGGAAAGATATGATGTGTCCGAATTTCAGAGCCAGTAAATTGTAAGCGCATTGATTGATGGGGATTCATAAAGATATAATGTGTCCAAATTTCAATCCAATCCTGCAGATGCGCGCAGCAAGCTTCAAGAGGGATATTTAAGCAGCCACCGAAAGCCATTTTGTGGAAGACTCATGTTGAGTAGTCAGGATGATCAGAACTTACAGTACATGATTATCAAATTATAGCGCAGTATACACTTTTTAAGGGGTGTATTGTAGCTATATTATAACAACATTGTGATGTCCAGATACGAGCTCAATCAAGAGATCAGAAACGCCCTCACTGGAATGCAATTATCTTTACAATGTCTACAGAGCAAGTTGTCACTACAGGTTATAGTTCAATGCCAGAAAGGTGTGGTATGCGTTCTTGCTTACAGTGTCACTGGTGCCAAGACTAATTGCCAGATCACCTGGAACGCTGAGAGATAAACCTGCAGGTTCAAGTTGTTCTGTTAAGAAAATGAATTAAAAATCGGGAAAAGTAATAAAAATTGACAATTTCCAAAGTTTTGAAAAGCAGAGAGGACTTGTGCTAAAACTTGTGTTGAATTCGTTGAAGTTTAAAGATTTTTATAATACCATAGCCTTCCGTTGAAAGAGGAACGAAGTTTACTGCATCACGAACGTGCTGCATCTTGAACAAATTCAGCAAAAAGTTGGACGCAAATAATTAAGCGAGAAGAAGAAACTCATCATCTTAACTGGAGAAACGAGGAAAACTTCTAGATGCTACCTCGGGATCGATTAGGAACCCAAGCGATCAAGTTAGCAAAGATTTGACCAAGAGCTAAACAGGTTGGTAGAAATTACAAAAAATAAAAAAATAAATAAAATTCAACCTGCTAAACTATTGGAATTGTCTCCTGACCACTGAACAAACAGCAGTTCTTTTTAAAATTATACCTGCAGAAAATTTTCAACAGCAACCGATTCAAGGAAACCAGTTCACGAGCAACTATTTCTTGATCAAGTAGCCCCACTTGAGAAAAATAAATTAAGAAGATCTTTAAGAGTATGGAGATCAAAAGTTTCTCATAACCATGTTGTATATCTTCAAGAAAAATAAATTAAGAAGATCTTTAAGAGTACGAAGATCAAAAGTTTCTCATAACATGATAACCATGTTGTATATCTTAAGAGTCGAATTTTGATAACCATCTAGGTGGTGGCCAAGTGGTAAGGACTTGGGATCAAGGAGTTTGCTCCCTCTGTGTTTTCAGGTTCGAGTTCTTGGTTGCTCATATGATGGCCACTGGAGGCTTACATGGTCGTTAACTTCAGGGCCTGTGGGATTAGTCGTGGTGCGCGCAAGCTGATCCGGACACCCATGTTAATCTAAAAAAAAAAGTCGAATTTTGATGTTAGATTTAAAGATGATTCAAATTTATTTTCATAAGTTATAAATGAAAAAAATTTGCTCTGTGATATGATATAACGATGGAATAAATAGAGTCTATATCTAAAAATTTTGGGATCTCATTGATTACCAAAAGATTTTAAGCCATTGACTGTAAATAGGTTTATAAAATTAAAAGAGATACTTCTGATAATATGAAGCAAAACTAGAATTGTAACTGAAGGTATACATGAATCATCCAAAAAGTTTTAAAGCCTCTTAGTTTTCAAATTAAAAAAAAAAATCTATATATAAAATAAAGCAGGCCTCATAATAATAGTGGTATATTAAGTTTCACACAATCTTATAATTCCATACAGTTCTATTGAAAACATTGTTGATCTTTGTGTCATGACTTCGGCATCATTGGCCTCCCACTTGGTGTGTTGTTCCTTATCGTTGTTTTTGTCAAGAGCAAGGCTTCTCCCGTCAACGTGGCTCCATGGATCCTTTCTGATCTTGACAAATATCATGAAGTGGAATGCCCAAACTAAGTAGTTCTTGCCATTAAAATAAACCAGGAAAATTTAAGACTTTTCTAAAGACATGATATCGAGACTATTTGATCTAGAATAATTAACCAATAATAAGGAATTGTGCTAGCACTAAGATGGACTCGAGGACACGGGATATGGAAGACAAAAAAAAGAAGACAAAACTAGGGTTAAGTTGGGAAAATCTCTAATGCCATTATAAATTTAAAAAACTTTTGAGAAAAAAAATTGTGTTTGAAAATTGATATTTATCTTAAATACGTTACAAGCTAAATTTTATATCCTATAAAATAGTTAACCTACTGTATACATATTTTATTAATAATTAACCTACAGCTACCATCCTAGCAAAGTAAAGAATCAGTTATTTATCAATATAAAAGTTTTTTTTAATTAATATAAATATTCAAATTAATTTAAATATACTTCAACTAATTTCATAAATTTTAAAGTTAATAAACATGTAAATTTTCAATAACCCTGAAGTTGGTAGAACTTAAATAAGTAATTTAAAAAAAATAAATCTAAAATCTGACCAATTAAATTTTATATTTAATTATTAAATTCTTTAATAACTAATATCCTAACAAATTTATTAACTGTAAAATTGATATGAAATTATCCTCTCTCTCTTTTTTTTCCCAGCCGGGTTATTAAAATTATTATCTTCTTTCCTGCCCGGTGACCAATTATGTTCTCAATTTCACCACGAAATTGTAATTTAATTATATAAATTTAGTGAGAAAATAAATTATATGTTTTCTCACGAGTACAGACATCACCAAGACATGAAAAGAAAACCCATCGAATCTTTGTGTCCGCACGCACCTATTACAAAGAAAGGTCTAACCCGTCGAATCTTTGTCCATTTCTCTGCACAGCCATAAAATACTAGGGATAATAAAATATGATTTTATTATTATTATTTGTGTTTATATTTTATGATTGGTGTAAAAAAGTTTATTAATTTCTTATGAATGAATCAAAGTGATGTGAGGGATATTCTTTAAAAAAAAAAAAAACTTAATACTAATTTATATATAAATCTATCCGATGATATATAATTATTGAAAATTGGAGTCATGGGAAAGGGGGGCTGCTTAGCACCGACTAAAACAGGATTGGTGATCACATTTGGAATATTTGGGATGATAATAGTGATTTTTTTATTTAAAAATTTATTTAAAAATTTTATTTTTAACATTATCACATGTAAAAAAATATACTAAAAAAATAAAAAAAAGTTTAAAACTCGAATTAAAACACTCTCTATTAAAGTTACTTGTCGTGTATACATATGCCGACCATCTCCATCACTTGTTTCCATGGCTTCACGCTCATTAATTTAACGTGGGGTTTCTCGTCCTTGGATGGTCGGCATCTGAATAATTTGTAGATCCGAATAATAAGAGCCTTCAATAATTCGAGCGTGGTCACGTGATATGGAACCACGTTGTGATATAATTATCGGTACTCCTCCAAATGCGAGGTAGCGAAAGATTCAGTCTCTGTATTTCTAAATTTTCTAATTTAGCGTTTTTTTATTGAGTATTTTTTTATCGTAGATTATCTAATCAGGTATTTCTATTTAATTGTCTGGAACTCAGTTTTCTTCATTTAAATAAATCCATTATTAAGCTGTTAATGACATACTCTTTTATATGTGGACGCATGCCGTTCTTATTGTGGGATCTATAAATAATAAAAAATAAAAATGACAAAATTATTTATGAAAAATAAAAATAAATCTTTGATTAACGAAGATGCAAACTGTGTTTTGTGATGATAATTCCATATCCCTTCTTTCTTTTACAGGTTATTAAGAAATTCTAAACCATAGTTTGTCAGAAATAATATTTCTAAAAATATACAAATATTCCTCCTATAGAGCAACGTTAATCTATTTCTATTTTTTATTTTTTATTTTTGGGTTGTTGAATTTTGATTTCATTCAGATGACCTGAGTTTTTTTATATTATTATTATTATTTATTCCATGTAGAATTGGTGTATGTGAGACTCCTTTTAACTTGTAACCTATTTTTTTAGGTTTGTCAAGTGGATTAGATTTTAATATTTTTATTATATCGATTAGATCTTATTGTTAATGTCTCATATTAGATCTGATAATTTAGCTTGATTTTCATCCAAAAGACTTAAATTTTATAGTGAATGGTTAATTCTTAACTTTATATATATAATCTTATTTTATTATTTATTATTTATTTTTCGATGTAAAATTGGTGGTTCTAACATGAGCTTAGTGTTTTAAAGTCTTTTTAAACAAACGTGGTGACCTTAAAATAACAGTCATGAGCTTCTTCTTCTTCTTCTTTTTGTTCTTCTTTTATTTTTCAAAATTTCATTCACTTTTCTTTTTCGTTTTTCCATAATAAGGATAATAAGGATGATATGTGTCTATTTAACACATATACCATCAACAATTCAATTAAAAAATATAAAAATAAAAATAAAAATGGTTGAAGAAAATAAAGATATGCGCTAAAAAAGTCAGTGGTATTTAGTTAAAAATTGTATAACTATAGGTACCGAATTTTTTATCACCTCCATCCTAATGCAAGCCAATAGGGTGTTTATTCCGTGAAAAATATATTTTTAATTTTTTTTTATATTTGTTTAACTTTCTCAACTCTGGAAAACACTTTCTAGATTTTTAACAAAAAAAAAAAATAAAATGAAATGATTAAATTATTTTTAAAATTAAAATTTATTAAACTCGAATATAAGGAGTTTTTGTATTTTTATATTTGTTTTAATCATAAAGTTGTTAGAAAAACAATAATGCTCCTTATTCTTTTTTGTTTTTTTTTTTTATTATATATTTTATTTAAAATAATTTATAAATAATTTTTTTTCAATATATTTTTTTAACTTTTTTATTTGTCAAGTTTGATTTTTATTATTTTTATTATTATTATTTTATTCAAGATAATTTATAAAACTAGGTTATTTTTTAATTTTTTTATCTATTAAATTTAATTCTTATTCTCATAATAAATAAATAAAATTAAAATTAAAATAATTTATTTTTAATTCATTTTTAATAACATAAAAAAAATACTTGCGAACTCATTTTTTATAATACTAATATATATATAAAGAATTCACTTTATATAAAAATTATTTTAAAAAAGAGCACAAGTTTATCTTCGCATCTCTCGGAAAGATTGATGCACTGTAGAGTTCAGACACTGTGTGCAGTATGGTTCCAAAACTGACACGTATATATAAGGTAGGCTCCAAATATTTTAAAGTTAAAACGATCTCTGGATAGTTTGCAAAAACGAGGAACTCAAATATTATAATAATAATTTACTTGGAAAAAGATGCATGATTCGTCCATTTTTCATACTCTATTCAAGTTAGCAGGGTAGGGATGAAATTGAAAATGGCACCGAACGGCGCCATGGCAACCCGTGAATGCACCTGCGCTGCTTATCCTGATCAAGCGACTACTTGCAAGAGTGCTGAGTGCTGTCGATAATTGACAGTTACCATATGATCTGCAGCAGCAATATTGTTACCGACCAGTCAATCTCAGACACAAAGCTATCAGTTGATTGATCAACAACATCCATGCTGGCTGCTGGAGCTGTGCGGAGGTCGAAAATTGGAGGCTGTCGATTTCTGGCCACTTCCACATCTCACGACCGCCTGGCGATTTTGCACCAAGTCGTGGTCCAAATGGCAGATTTACATTGATATTTTAAGAAATTCCACTAACATCTTGTCGACATTCGTATTTAGGCCATGATGTGTATGGTTTGTTTCTCATTATTTTCAAATCTTGTCTTCTCGTGATGATCATGGAGAAATCAAGTATGTTTATTGTATCTGGAGGCACTAGCAGACAATTTGGCGTATGATGTTAGTAGGAACCCAGAAGCCGAGTCTCGGAGGCCTGGCAAAAATTGTTTTTAAGCTGTTGTCCACTCTATTTTTATTTTTATTTTACACTGACGATGGGTAACCTGTTGTGGCCACCAATTTGTCATTCTCTACGTCATTTTCCAGTCATCTTCGGTTTTGAAATTTCAAAAAACTTGTTTCTCAATTTATTTTCACTTGTCGTCAAAGAAACACCAGGGAAAGCTTTAAAAACTTGTTTTCAACCCCAAAATATCCTCTAATCTCACTAAAAAC